TATTATTATTATTATTATTATTATTATTATTATTATTATTATTATTAGTTTTTATATGGTGCTTTATAGTGCTTTTACTGCACTATTCTGCACTGTCTGCATTGCTGTTCCTCTTATTCACAGTTAAAGCAGTTTGTACATTTCATAAAGAAACATCCCCATGATTAATATGTAGGCTTCAGAAGTTGTCATGTCTCGGCCCCTGGATTTAGCTTTTTATGTAGAAGGAAGGTTCTGAATAGTTTTAGTAATGTTGATTCTGAATGTATTGCTGCTGCTGTAAAAAATGGATTGATTTGTTCTTTTATTTAGCAGTTCTGAGTGTAGATTTTTTTTCACCAATTACCACAAATAAAGAATAGTTTATTAGTACCTGATTAAGTTGAAAAATCATTCTTAAAGTAAATTTCAGGCAGTCTGTTTTAAAGTCCATGTAAAAATTAAATGTAAAATCCATATTGGAGAGGATTATCTTTGATTAGTTTATTATATTAATAATTCTTACTAAAGCAAACATATGCATGAGTCATGATGCCTTGAATTTAACACGGCAGTTCAGAAATCCAGGCTCTCCTAACTATGGAATGTTGTATATTTGTACAACCCTAAGTGTATTATGATTGTTTGCTGATAAAAATAGATGACAGTATTGTGAAGTGAAGACAATGACACATCTGAGTCTTGGAAGGCGTGCTGAGCGCTGACTGTATGAATATGAAGTACACTGGGTGGGGTTTCTTTTGTGCTGAATTTTGGCATGGAAACTGAAGTCTAAAGTAAGGCAAAGTAGCAGGTTTTGTAAACTGCACAATGTACACTCAGCAAGGATTGTAAAAAAGCAAGACCTCCTCTCCAGGTTCTAATAGACATAATCAGAAGAGTTTAGAGTTAAAAATATCTCTATGGGTATTAATCAAGCCATAAAAATGTAATTTATCATAATTTCTCTTTCATATGTAAAACATTTTTTTTTGAAAAACAGGAAACATTTAAATTTATTCCTTGTCAATCCCATAACCTTGAATGGAATGCATTTCTTTGATAGAGTTACTGCTAACAAGTAGAACAATAGGGAATCTGGGACCACAGGGCTGCATGCTGACATTAATCTAAACCACTTTTCCTAATTTAAGTATCCTTTTAAAACATAGATTTCAGATCCCGTAGTTTTTCAAGAATTCTGCATCCATACATATAAAGCATGCCCAAATTTTTAACTGCTAGCGTGATTTCATATTGTGAATTCCACCCATATTTAACTGAAGCCTTCCCCCCTCCCCAATATCTCCTACAGCAGGACTGCAGAACCAGACAGATTTTGTCTTAAATTGTATGGATTTCACCTCATTATAACCCTCTTTTATTCCAAAGTGAAGAGTTGATGTACACTGACTCACAATTTGATGATTGTGGTTGAATGGATCCCCAACTGGTGACAGCATCTACATTACCTATTTGATCTCAAACAGGGGGGACTATATTAGGACATTTCAGAAGAATAAGCTAGATTGGGAAATAGAAAACCATTCTGGAAGAAGGCAATGAAATACTAATGCCTATTGGATATGGAGTAACCAGAAGAACATTTATCTTATAAAACTTTTTTATTTTACTTAGTTGGGTTGATAAACTGACTTTATTGCAAAACTTTGCATTTAGAATTAGCCATGCATTAAAAGATCACATTATGTATGTGGTTCCTTCAAAGTTAGGTTTTTTTTATATATATAATGAATACTTATAGAGCAAAAGTTTATCAAATTACAGACTCTGAACTGTTTGCTCACAGCAATATAAATGTCATCCCATCTGGGCAATCTCCTCTGGCCAAATCAAGTAATAAAACTGTTCTTTTAGCTCTAAGAAGTAAAGGAGGACTCTACAAGATATGTGAATATGTTCTAATATACTTGTTCTTACTGTGTGACTAATAGAAGCAGGACTAAATATGTTCCTAGCTTTAGGGCTCCCATTTATGCTGTAAAGCTATGACTTATAGGGACTGCCTTGTGCTAAAATATACTAGAATTACAGAGGCACCACTGATATTTTGGGAACACATAAGGTTGTTTCAGATTAGTTGATATCTGTGAACGTCACTGTATTCTCTAGATACACATTACTCAGTTCCACAAACTCCTTTCTTCCTGCCTGGTAAAATTCAATTACCTTGGTTGAACATTCAAGAAACAGTAGAACTAGTTTTTTATAGAATGATTGCTTTCCTTTGCCAAAATCGTACCAATATTTGGCTGGCTTTGGGCACAGCCCCTTTCACTTTATTAAAAATATTTCTTTCATTTGGATATAATAGGAGATAAGTGAGTGTGCTAATTTGAATGGCAGTTAATTGTGACTGACATATTTGTGTGCATTGTTAACATGCATGCATCCACCATACCATTTTTTCCAACTAACTTGTTGTTCCTTTGCTTTGCAGAGCAAAGAAGTTGGACAGCAGCTCCAAGAAGACCTGATGAAAGTTCTGAATGAGCTCTACACGGTAAATCCAGTTTGCTTTTTTTTTTGCTCTTTTTAGAAAGTCGTGACAAATTAAAACGTTTACCTCCCTCTGTGAAATTATTTTCTTTTTCTTCTATGGTTTCATTTTAATTCTCTGGTTTCAATCCTTGTTGCCTTTGCTGCTGTTGTGGGATTACTTTCTGCATTGAGTGAACATTGGTAAGTGTTTAGTTAAATCACTGGGCTCTTGGTTGGATGATAGTATCAGCTTTGAGGTCAGTTTTGGCTGCAAACGGATCAAACACAATGGGTTCTTTCATCCTAAATGTAAGAATGCATGAAGCACAAGCTTTTGTCATGCAATACACTTTTATCTAAATTATTATTTGCGTTAGATGCTTGTATATATATATATATATATTTGATTTGGATTTTTAGAAGATTGGTAGCAGTAGGTTTTGATTTAGTAAACCACATGCTATATTATCTACAGCCCAGCCCTGGTCCCCAGGGAAGAAAGAGAGTCTGTTGAGACCTAGCCTTTTGTCAATTGAGTACAAATAAATATTCAGAAATGCTCCATCCTTAAAATGCTAGTACAAAGCCAGTAAAAAGGTGGCTTATTTTTACTGAGCATGATGACTGCATCATAAATAAAGAAGAGGATTACAAGTTACACAAGTGTTGTGCCATTTTTAATTAATTAATTTATTGGTCAAACATGTACAAGATAACAAGTATAGGTATGAACATCAACATGAACAAAGGAAGTAAAATCAGATAAATGGGGACAGTAAGACAGGGGTGGTAGGTATGCTGGTGCGCTTATGCACACCCCCTTTATGGACCTCTTAGGAATGGGGTGAAATCCATGGTAGACAGTTTGAGATTGAAGGTGCGAGGGTTTGAGGCTGTAATAATGAAGTTGGGTAGGGCGTTCCAGTCATTGACCACTCTGTTGCTGAAACATTCTCAGAGTAACATTTTGGATCAAAGATGCTGTTTACTAATTGGTAAGTATCATTGAATGAAGCATTAAAGAAAATGGCGAAGGAAACTATATGAAGTGACATGAAACATTAGTTTATTTATTATACTAATTATAATAATGCACTGCTGCATAAAAACATTTCACAATATTCCATTTGTTTTCCATTGCTGTCCTTTTGCGTCCTTCCTCTGAAATTTCAAATCTAATATGATCTTTGCATGCTCCACATATCAGTCATATTATCTACAAGTTTACTTGTTTGTCCATCATCTAGAGCAGGGCTATCAAACTCACAGCCCACAGACCAGATGCATCACTGGCTACGATCATGCCCAGTTTAGCGAAGGGGGAAAAAGTCACGATACGTCACGTGATGCTGCTGTGACGGTGCAAGTTTGTCACCCCTGATCTAGACTCACTCATATTATTTTCTTTTAGCAATTGTTGGTTAAATGAGCAAACCTCTCTTTCCTTGCTAGTTGTTTAAAGTCACCCTCTAGTGAGATAATAATTAAGGTAGGATTCTAATTCTGTTTTTTTTTTCAGGTTACAGCTAGCTTTCCTCCTGCTAATTGGAAATTGTGGTGGCTTATTTCCATCCTCTCTTGAGATCACTAGCTTGAGGAAAGCAGTTCTTAGATGTTCTGCTCATTTTCAGTTGTGAAGACTTCCTGTGTCCAATCACACTTGGCCAATAAAGAATTCTAATTCTAATTGAGATGACCCAAACACCAAGGAAGAATCTGATTGGCACAAAAGTGTGCTGATAAAAATTCTGGCCGTCTCTTCTTTCATGCTTGAATGGGAAATATTTAATGTTTACTAAACCTGTTTCAGGTTTGTTAAACTTAGCAGCTGAGAGCAAATTACTTCTATTTTGAAATTTGGGCCCTTTGAATGTTTTCTTTCAGGCTTTTTTCCCCAAACACCAGACAGTTTCTGGATTTTGTTGGTCAGCTAGGGTGATTGCGTTGGCAAATACTTTTCTCCACACCCTGTTGCCACATGAAAAGATGTTTCATAGAAACTCTTGAGGCAAAAGCAATGAGACCCTGAAATGAAGTACAACTAGTAATCATGATGGCCTGGATATAGGCTGATTTTGCAATTTTGTCTAATTTATATAAATCAGCAAATCACACAGGGATAAAGATTGTATCTTATTATAGGCAAATTGGAAACTGTCTTCTGGCAGCTGCGAAGCCTAAAATCTTTCTATGGTGTTTCTTATTATTAAATTGAATTCCAGCTACAGATGTTCGGCATTTTGAACATACAACTGGTTTGGTGACATTGCAGAAGTGCTTTTAAAAATGAATAGAGGATGTGTCTTGTTTGTGGCTTTTAACCTTGCTTTTTAGAAAAAAGGAGACCTAATAATATTCCTATAGGAAGGATCTTATACTGGTTTGTAACAAATTCATTGAAGGAATGTAATTACTAGAGTCCAGTGCGGCGTGACTGCAAGGAATTTGAGAATATTGATTTGTTTCTTCCCTTTATGAATCTACATAGATACACTACATAGTTAGTGGCTACTAAGCATATCACCTAGCCATTTTAACTGCCAGATACTTTTACATGAGAGTGAGTAATGCTATTGAACTTCTGGGAAAAAGCTACTGTATGCCAATTTTTGAAAATAATAGTAAACTGGGGCAGGGGATTGCCAAATTTTCGTGGTGTATCAAAGGCAGAGATAACTTTACATAAAGGTGCCAGGCTAAGTACATTTGGAAGGATGGGAGAAAGAAACCTTGAGTTAAACCTCTGAAGGTAAAGAAGTCAATTATATTTTTCAATGAGTGACTGGAAATTTGTACTTTCAGGGTTGCAAGTTTCTGTTAATGTAGCAGTATAATAAAGTAGAATTAGTTCACGTAATATAACCCTGTCTGATTTACCTAGAAGGCTAACACCAGTCTTACAAGTCTGAAAGTAAAAACTTCCCAGTGCCACTTTTAACGGCTTGATTCATTAGGGCAGGTCCTTCCTAAGTTTCTTTCTCTGATCACTCTGATCACTTATGCCCCTCTTACCTGATTGTTTCCCAGGCAGCATCTCTTTATCTCTTTCCACTAAGTCATCTACACATTCCATTACAAATGACCTTTAAAAGGAAATCTAGATTTTTAATGTGAAAAAATAATGACCCTCGACCAAATAGAAAAAATTACTTAGTTATTGCCTTTTGGGAATAGGAAGATTAATTCCAAAATGAGTTGAAACAGTGAAGAAGATATGGCACAGATTTATTAACCTGGATGAGAATAGCTTTAATTCATTCATTATTTATTGATTAGCTGTGTATGCTCACCACCTTATGCAGAATAACTCTGGCCAACAATATATAGGTAGTCCTTGCTTAATGACCATTCATTCATAAATTTGAACTACAGTGTTGCTGAATGAGTGGTACTTTAGCAGATCCTAGTAGTTGTGAGTATTGTAGCATCTCCACACTCACAGGATCATCATTTGTGACCTTCATTACTGACTTTCAACAAGCAAATGGGAAAGCTTGCGGGAGGTCGCAAATGGTGACCACATGACATTGCACTCGGTAACGTTGTGCGATTTGTTTAATAATAGTAATCAGAAATGCCAGAACACCCATCTCTAAACGGTGCAGTCAGATGATACTCTACCATACAACCGGATTCCTTAGCTATGGAAATTCCATTTCCAATGACCATCATTAGCTGAACAAAAATAATAAAACTGTACAAAATTAACAAAATTGTACAAAAATAACAAAACTCAAAGAAATAAAACCATTTCACACCACCAAGTTGCTGTTACATTGCTACTGCAAATCTACATGTGCTGGGCTCAACTCTCATGCTATGCTCCGAGAAGGGGCTGAACGTTAACCACATTCTGGAAGGCGAGAAGGATAGAGTAGTATGAAATTGAATAATCAAAGATATTTATCAATTTGCTCAAAGAAAAAAAATACTTCTTTTTCAGTTTATACAAGGTATAGTGATGGAAATAATTTATATATTTGAAATCCATTTCAGAATTGTTTTGTATTTTTTAGCTTTGTCCAAAATACTCATTTCACGTTCTCTGCCATTCTAGGATAGCAAATGTAGGCCCACCCCAAAATAAGCTATTACTCTTATATGTATGTTACAACTATACATTTACCCTTTTATTAATTCACTACTTTTATATTTAACATCCCTCTGATAAAGTAGTGATTATCCTACAAAAGCTTAAAATAATTAATCAGTATGAAAATGTCATGATTGTTAGAATTATTGTTAATAGTATCCTGGTGATCAGTTCAATTCAATCTTCATTACAGTCATGGAGCAGCATCCTGGTGATCAACACTAGAAAAACATACCAGTTACAAATTCAAGAGACAGATAACTCTGAGTCTTGATCACTCAGAGTCTTAGTCACTATATGCAGGAAGAATATTGCTACATCCATCTACTTGATGGATTTGAAAACATTTGCAATATCCTTATTTATCTATATTTTAACAGCAAATTAAATATGATAAGGGTTGGATTAGAAACATTAATTTAATTTTCCAGCAGTAAGACTAATTTATCTTGAGTTCCATCAGTCTGTGGTTTTCTAGGTGTTGCTGGATTATACCTCACAGCATCAATTAGGAATGACTATGTGTTGGGAATGAAGGTTCAAATAAGATCTACATTGCTCATCCTTGTGTGTGAGAACAAGAAAAAATGGAATAGGCAGAATGTATATCTCATTCTACCAATTGATCTCTGGCTTATTTACAGGGGATGAGCAAGGATTTCTGAGTACTACTTTTAACCTGCCAGAAGCAAAATTAGAGAAACCCATCCACACAGACATGTCCTAAATTGGATCTGAGAAACTTTTCAAGGACAAAGACTGATTTCTGGATTTTTAGGAGTTGAGGATGACACATTGCACAGACGGCTTTTAAAAAATTTTTTTTTCTCTAATTAAGAAGCTTATTAAAGTAAGCTGCATAAGCAGTTTTGGTGTTTTTTTTAAGCCTTAGTTGGCAAGCAAACTAATTGCACTGCATTCCTCCATGA